GCTTGATCTTGGGTACACATGCATCAACTGCATGTGTCGATAGAGCTGCAACGCATAACCGTCAAAATGTTCAATTCCATCACAAACAATTCTATGAACAAATAAATTCAATTGTACATTGGGACGTGACGCGACGTGCGTGTCGTCTACAGCAGACGTGGGAGTGTCATCAATAGCGCGTCCTAATGGACTTGGTCGCTGTCACTTGCTCACACACAACCGAGTTATAGCGCCACTCCATCAGCTTGGAGACATCTTCCTTGCCATCCTCTTAGTCCATCTTCGCGGCCAGACACGCCATCTGTGCATCGTGTTAGCCAGACATGCCATGTGTCCGCTTTGGCAGCCAAACATGCCATGTGTCCATCTTGGTGGGCAAACACGCCATCTATGATCTACCTACCTTGACAGGCACAAGCGCCATTTGTCACTCTTGTCAGCCAGATACGTCATCTGTCCATCCTGGGAGCCACACGTTATCTGTCCATCTTGACAGCCTAACCCTCCATCTGTCCATTTTGGCAGCCATTCACGCCATAGTTCCCTCTTGGCAGGCAAACGCACCACCTGTCCCTCTTGGCAGGCACACGTACCCCCTGTCCCTCTTGGCAGGCACACGCACCACCTGTACCTCTTGGCAGGCAGATATGCCACCTGTCCCTCTTGGCAGGCAGATACACCACCTGTCCCTCTTGGCAGGCAGACACGTCATCCCTCTTGGCAGGCAGACACGCCAGCCACCTTTTATCTTGGAAGGCGGACGCACCACCTGTCCTTCTTGGCAGGCAGACACGTCATCCTTCTTGGCAGGCACACGCACCACCTGTCCCTCTTGGCAGGCAGACACGCCAGCCACCTTTTATCTTATAAGGCGGACGCACCATCTGTCCACCATATTAATCTAGCACCACCTGTAAGAGCTGTACGTCACGCTCACCGTCTGGTGTAGAGCTGTACGAGCTCAAGTGTAGCGACTTGATGCGTTCTGCATCCTCTCGTCGCGCAGCTTTTGTCAGAGCAGACGGAAGAGCTTGTCAGAGCAGACGTCGAACGCGATAACATTTAGTATTCATCGCGGAGATCGAGTCGGTAATTTAATTTCGGGATTTGTGATTCGGCAACTATGATATAATTTAATTATGCATCTGCTTACCCCGGCGTTGTCTGGCAAATATAATCCTCGAGATTCAAGAATTTTGTTATCTTTAATCCGGTTATCATAAATATTTATTCCGAATCCCTTGATCCTGAGCATTGTCAGTCAAAATCCCGTCACCCCGAATCTCAATTAATACTTTCAAACTAATGAACTTATACCAAATCCAGTCCCTTAAAACCCCACAATTATTAACGTCGAACTTATGTTCATCTCTTGTAATGAAATAATAAAAAAATTTGTAATTGTAATTTTGTTGTAAAAGTCATATTATATAAAAACTTAAATCTCTGAGATTTAAGAGTATTGCATAACCAAATCAACTTTTATTCTCACATTGAAGTTCAAAGCATCATCTTATATTCAAACCCCCCTCCCCTCCCAACGTTTCTGTGTTTGTTTGTGGCTCAAATTTTAGTCCCGTACAATGATGTGAAATAATTATTTGCTATTTCGAATGAAACTTAAAATACCACATTTAAGCATTTTATAAAACCTTTTGTGTTCTGACGGGACCTCAATTTCGGTCCCAGGCCTTTATGTATGAATATTAGAATATTATGGACGACGGTTGATATGTATCCGTACACAAAGGGTTTCGAACCAACCCGCCTCTCCCTGTTCTGCAATTCCTCATTATTATCCCACAAAGAATAACTTTCCAGGTCTTGTAAATATACCAGCATGATAATTATCGCAGAATCGCGCTCGATCAGCCCCTATATATTTACGGCACCAGACTACAAACACGCAAACAAACAATAAAACTTTCACAATATTCTGTAGATGAGCGAAAGTAATAGCGTCTCTGACTTGGAGAAAACAATAAAACGTTAACAAATATTCTGTAGATGAGCGAAAGCAACAGCGCCTCTGACTTGGAGAAAACAATAAAACGTTAACAAATATTCTGTATATTAGCGGAAGCAACAGCGCCTCTGACACGGAGTTAATGAAAGCCATTTATTTGAGTCAAGGCTTATCAGCAGCACCAGGTGTGCCCAGAGCACGGATCCTCTTAGCAACAACGTGCCGGCGGCTCAACAATTAATAAACTCGTCGACCGGAAGATCCTCGTCGCTCGATTATTCTAGTTATCGTCACGGAAATTCTCTGAATTTTATGTTCAATGATTCTATTATGCGAAGATTCGACGTCGTTGCAATCAACAGCTTTTACAGGGTCCCTGGCTGTGAACTGGGAAAACGTACACGAAGTAAACCCCTGTTATAGATCATGATAGAATACTTTACGTTGTATACTAATAGCTTAATTCGGAATGAAATAGCATAAAGTGACAGGGAAGCAAGGATTAATTTCCGTGAAGTAGTTTCTGTGGCGAGGCCGTCGACCCGGCCTGAATTCAAATGTGAAAGATTATTTCTTACCTACAGTTGCTTCTCACTTCTGTTACTTTCCTGTATTTTCCTATGTGACGGATCGTGTTATCATTTCATTCTGCTCGAACTTGAGCTTGGCTGCATGAGGACTTTTATTGCAAATATATGTGGCTTTTGGAGAGCTGAAACTAACTGAAGTTCAAGCAGATGGTGGTGATTGATAATTTTATTTACGCACGTAAGTTGCTATGGGTGCTGCAAAATTAATAATAACGATGAAAATTTATATGATTGTGAACCGTGATCTCTGTACCAAGATCTCTCTCGACTGATAAAGTGAAGAGGAAAATACGGTGCGCTCGCTGCACACCTTGTAGCGACATGCACACACAAACCAGATTGATCTTAGGGATGAAATGAAACGATACTCTCATCATTGGGGTAGGCTGCGTTCAATGAGCATTTCTGTCTCTGCAGGTGTGGATGACGAACCAACCGCAGAACAGCTGTAGCTCTTCCTCTGCTATACACATGCTTGTATGCCGGCCAATAACTCCAGCATCAGCCTTGCACCATCAGCACTTAAGTAACGGAAGTGGAGCATGGCCCAGGCATGAGTATATAGACACCAAAGCAAGGCATTTACTCTCACTTAGAAGTTATGTGAATAACTGCAGGTATTCATGGAATAAAACTATGTGAATGGCAGCACTGGCAGCTGAACATTCACTAACGTCGATATATGAACACGATGTTGCGTGCCGGTGGCAATCATTCATTAGAATGCTAAGGTCAATTAAAGGGACATTAATTTAACCCGTCTTCCTTGACTGAGTTTCGCTTGGAACAGTTCATGGAACACAAAGACGAACTTAATATAGAGCGACTAATTATACGCTCGCTAATGGCTTCGGTAGCAACGGTAGTGACTTGCAACTTCAGTAGCATCAAAATAACCTATAACAATTGGCATCAATAAAAACAACAATAACTACAAAAGGAAGGTTTTTCAAGAGTTGTGATGGTGACTGAAAAAAAAAACTGGGGATAACGCTGAGCTCCACACATGAGCTCATGACGTTTTGCCAGTATATACGAAACGTGCATATTAAAAGACTTAATTCTAATAATAATAATTTAAAACGTTATGAGTATTGATTTGTAGGTGGACGTAAGTTTCGACGTTGCTCTCACAAGGAAGCAATCAACCACAAGTAAATAACTCGCACCGTACATAATTGTAAAGAATATTTTAGGTGCAACAGGACCGTTGCCATTGCAACAGAGAAGAATGCGACCAATAACAAACTAAATGTTTGCGTTGTTAGCGGCGCTCCGGGATCGACTGCCTCTAGGGACTTGATACAACTGTATTAATAACAGTTACAGCTGCCGCAGTAGCAGATATATAGGGACATAAGTATCAGACATGGTGCTTCGACTTACTTCAGCTGTAAATATAACTAATAACAGCTGCCGCAGTAGCAGATATAGGGACTAAAGCATCAGGCATGGTGCTTCGAGTTCTTCAGCTGTAAATATAACTAATAACAGCTGCCGCAGTAGCAACTATAGGGACATAAGCATCAGGCATGGTGCTTCGACTTACTTCAGCTGTAAATATAACTAATTACAGCTGCCGCAGTAGCAGATATAAGAACACCAGCATCAGGAGAAGCTCACTCAACAGGTGGGGACGCGTCAGCGCATCTGTGTCATCCAGTCTTGCGTGCACCTGCTGAGCGTCAGCTGTAATGTGGTGCAGTGGTGCTGCTATATACAGCTGTCGTGGTGACTGCTGTAATGTGGTGCAGTGGTGCTGCTATATACAGCTGTCGTGGTGTGCTGTAATGTGGTGCAGTGGTGCTGCTATATACAGCTGTCGTGGTGACTGCTGTAATGTGGTGCAGTGGTGCTGCTATATACAGCTGTCGTGGTGACTGCTGTAATGTGGTGCAGTGGTGCTGCTATATACAGCTGTCGTGGTGACTGCTGTAATGTGGTGCAGTGATGCTGCTATAAACAGTTGTCGTGGTGACGGCTGTAATGTGGTGTAGTGGTGCTGCTACAGTATATACAGCTGTCGTGGTGACTGCTGTAATGTGGTGCAGTGGTGCTGAGGCATCATGACGCTGGAGCACCATAACGTTGCGTACTTGTATCACCATCATGCCGGCATCATCAGTCGTTGGCTCTTACGACACTCTACTTCTTGCAAACTTCCAGGAAGGCCAACAGGTCCGGTCTTTCTTTAGCTAACCCTCATAATCAGAAAAATTAGTGAAACTTTTTCTGAATAGCGAAGCACATTTTAACCCTAGATGGCCCAGTCTGCATGACCTGAGTTTGAGCTTTAGAATTTCTTATTAATTGTAGCGGTGCATGTGATTTAGCACAGTGAAGCTGTTATATATGGCGTGTGAGTGGTTCATGGCACATGAAATATTGTGATTACAGCTGTATAAAAACATTCATTATAAAATCATTTACACTATAAAGCTCACCTCCTTCTTCATGGTCCGTATGAGGCGCTCGTGTAGATCCTTGTCTGCGAAAAAGAAATAAAAACTTTGTATGAGCGTGCAAGTAAAAATGAAGTAAAGTTAATTTTAATATAGTAAAGTTTTTTGTTTGTCTATTTAGTTCACAGTAAGGTAAATATAATGCAGTAGTTTATCTCGCTGCCCAAATATTTGTTTGATGATGAAATAGAAGGCAAAGTCAGCTATCAATTATTAGGTTTCGGTGTATTTAGAGTTTATAGTCAGCGTGAAATTTATAACATTATTATTCAAATTAAATGAATTTTTGGCAAGTCCGTTGTGGTCTCGTAACCGGAGCCACGCAACATTTTCTCGCTGCAATAGGCCATCCGCCACACGATCCTCGTGTCGCATTAGGAAGCCACGGCAAAAAAAGCTTATTTGTTCACCTCAGATGAATAGCAAATATGAACGACGCCTCCTCGCACCTCAACAAGTGACCTAACCTTATAAAAAAATATTATTGAATAACTCTTTAGCCAACCACCGTTCTAAGCTTAGCTTAGTGTTATTTATTTTGATGGAAGGCCTACAAATTTCTCAAGGCAGGACGTACTACTACTACACGTTGCAATTTTTCCGCCTTCATGAAACCCACAACAAAATAAAACGTTTGACAGCCACAATAAGATCGAGCCTCTGACTTTTTCCTCTATATACTCTTTTTCTCTATATATTCCTATTAAATACTCTGCACAAATATTGAGCCATTATCGGAATTATTGTTCTTGACATGAATGCCCGCCTCGAATGTTCAGCCGCCGACGCTCTGAGCGACACAATTTATCCTAACTGCATAGCATTCGTTGACATTCGAGTTGCGATGCCAGCGTTCGAGAACGATGGCCGGCGCACATTGTAGTCCGCCCAGAATATTGAGACTTTATTCAGAGCAGAGTGAATTGTTACGAGCTTGTGCGGATGGCGGTTTGTGGTGGCGATTCGGTAAGATAAACGTTGTCGTTTACGCCAGACATGAACTATACGGTCGTGTATCGCGCATGTTAATGCGATCAACGTTTTGCGGTCGTACATGTTGATGCCGTCAACGTTATGCGTTCGTGCATGTTGATGCTGTCAACGTTCTGTGGTCGAGCATGTTGATGCGATCAACGTTTTTGTCTCTTAGCACTAGCTTGATATGATGTACGGTGCCAGCGATAGATAGGAATAACAGCTCAATTTTTTAATGCTATGTTAGTACTACGACCAAATTTGATGCATACGTGTAATTAATTTAGATTATGTATTACGGTACTAGTAGAATGAATTGTAAAAATAATTGAAATAGTTTTGCGTATAGCATTCATTCCAAGGGTAGTGACCATTGCAAGATTTATGCAAAGAACATAGATGTGAAATGGGTTTTTAGGGGATTTTTAATAAATTACATGTAAATTATTTGGAGGTTCAACAAGTTGAGTCATACTGGGGGCAGAGGGTGCAGGGAAATTATGCAGATGTGGGTGACAAATACGACTTGAGTGCGAAACACCTCAGAGTCGAAACTCTCTTTGAACAAATTCAACGTTAATGTTTCAAAATATTTCATACGCGTTCTAAACGAGTAAATGTTTTTAATAATCTGTTGTAATTAATGAACCACTTCTTACCATTCATGATCAGCGACATTGTTCCCTATATCGTTATAAAATCACTCAGATGTTGCAATCGGTGTAGAGTGAGAGGAAATGCACTGCATGCGTGAACATTGTACAATTTAACCTTTCTACGCTTGTTTGCACATGACTTCACACACTTACAGATCTCATCTTACTGATCACTTGCTCACGCAACATCTGAAATATATAAGCTGCCTACAAGGGGGCGTGGCTTCGTCCAATATCGATCTATAGACGAAAAGAATAGATTCGAGTGGTCAAAATAAAGAATCTGACACCTTAAGGTAATTTATCTTAGTACATAGCATGCAATTGAACGGGATTATTGAGTAGAAAAAACGCAATATTTTATCTAGGCTCATTTTATTCTTCACCTACGAAAAATTCGTGGTGCTGAGTGTAATGTATCATTCTCAAAACATTGCAGATGTGCATGTCAAGAAAAAGAGGGAAGGGTTATCCAAGAGTTTATAGCGAGGAGCATGGAAATACATGTCAGCTGGTGAAGAATTTGATTCTGAGTTACGACTCGACGAGACACCGACGGGAGTAGGTTTATGGTGCCGGTGGATTATTATAGGTAGTGCTGCTCTGTATCATTGCTGAAGCGGTGCACACTCGAAAGTCAAAACGAAGAACCGACCATTATTGTTTCAAGCCGACATTGTTGTTCTGCATTGTTTGTTAAGTGGAATTTTATTATTTTGGTGGAAATGCATCCTTTCGATTTCGGTAGGCTGCCAACATCAGTAGTTGATTCGATTCCTCACTAGGCCTAAGTCGCCTAACACTTATCTTGATATGACTTGCTAAATGTATAAAGTCAATGCCACAGTAAATGTAAATGCTACCGTCAAACGGGGTAATTAGGGACAGGCGGACCTGGCGGTGGCGGGGTAATAAGCCAATCTAGTATGGAATATATCTACTTGGCGAGCCGCGACTGAATTTTTCGAGCCGTGGTTTTATGGATTTGCCAGCCGTGATTCCATTTGAAATGACATGTTTGCGAAGTGCAAACCGCGATTTTTTAATCAAATAAAAATTTATGACATTCGAGCCGCGAGATTTCATACCTACTGAAATTATATGATATTAGAGCCGCGATATTTCAGACAAAAATAGGACTTTTCCAGACTAGAAGCCAATAAGGGACAGTCCTCAAACATTTTATAGAAATGTTGTAGGCCTAGCTGCTAGGTAGCAGCTAAACTAATCAAAATATTACGAAAATAAAAACAGTGGCATAAAGTTTAACATTTTTACTATCTAGGTAGGGTAAACGCGGTATATTCCGACATCGTAGGTAATTCTGTCACTTCTCTAGTTTTTCCTTTATATTAAGCTTTGTTTTAGTTCCATGCGTTCATTGATGGTTGAAATGGTGACGTCATACATTTGCGTGTCGAAATACTGCAAAAACGCTAGGTCTTGCCTTTTGGAAAAGTAGGTACCTCTGCTAAGGTCTTTAGCAGAAGAAATATTTGTTGTATAAAAAAATTCTACTTCTATAAAAGTTTCACACAGCCAGGTGTTGGCTTAAAAACGTGATTGACAGAACTTTATCTTGTACCAATAAAAAATGGTGGCCATTTCCGCAAAACGGGGTAATAAAGGACACCTCCCCCCCGGGGTAATAAGGGATACCCCTCATTATTTATTATTGTCAGTGGCAAATCAGAAAGTTTTTTAGACTCTCCCTCAAGTTCATTTTTGAGTGTGAGTCCTATAAGTAGACCAGCAAAGTATCATGGATAGGCTACCAGCATTATCATGCATAACAAATTGGTTTAAATCTTGAGTAGATGAGGAAATTGAAAATTAACCGATTCTAAAAATTGCCCCTCAACTTGCATTTACAGTAGAACTAGAACCTTGGTCAGCAAAGGCTCCAGACTCCAGTTAATGAAAAAATCAATTAACAACAAAGATTTTTGATTATATTTACCTTGTTCAGTGAAAAAAATTCCACTTGACAAGAAATTTCTGCATCAGGTGATGATCACTTGATCAGTCATCACAAAATTGTTCATAGAATGTCATAGATAGAATTGAGCATTGGGCAACAAAGAATGAAAAGGAGTTAACCTAAATTATGATTTATTTTTCCAAAATATATAAAAATATGGTTGACACTAAAATATTCCTTCATGTTTGCAGTATGTTTTTTTACAATCTTTTTTGTTATGTTGAAATCACTTGACTCAATTAAAATTGTGCGGAATTACGTGCCATCCTATAAGCTTACAGATACAGAAGAAATTCTACATGGCTGCTGTCTGCTGATATGTATCTTTTAGTGAACACTGGGATAGTGGGCAAAGTCATTGTCAATGCTCAATGGCATGTCCATGGATACTGTAACATCACATTAATAATACAGTAATGTATGGATAAGGTAATATTATATCAATAAAGAAAAACCAAGTAAAAATCACAGAAAATGTCATTTATTCTACATTTACATCATCTACAAAGGAAGAGGAGGACTTCAGAGTACTGTTAGTAATAAATGAGTACACTCTGCATGCTTCAAATGTTTTAAAATTGAGCTTTATTTCAAGTGTCCCTTATTACCTGTTTCCAGATTAATTCAGGAGCCTTTTATATTGCCTCTAGCACCTTACAAATGACATATGGAATTTTTTGGATATGCCATACAATAGCCCTTGCAAAGACCTTTAAAATGAGCCCAAACTTGTTTATGAAACATTTAATGGTAAGAAGATATTAACAAAAACTCTCAAAACCGTCCCTTATTACTACACCGCTTGACGGTATTTCTTGTATTCTTGGCACCCAAGTCACCAGAGCAAAAGCAATAATGTTGCCACTTGCCAGCCTTGAAAAGCAACTGTTTATTTCATAAGAAAAATTAACCTACATCCCATCATCCCAACATAACTTATTTGCATGATCAAAAAAGCTTCTTTATTGATAACTTGATACCGTCAACCGGGGCTACTCGGGACTGGCGGGGTAACTCGGGACAGTCCTCTGACACAGCGTAAAACTGTTTTAGTAGCAAAACTAATTGGAATATTGCAAAACTAAATATAGTGGCGTAAACATAAACATTTTTCCTATCTATGTAGTATAAAGGAAGTTAAAAAATACTATATTTACTAGCTTTGAAAAATTCCTGAAAAAAATGGTGAAAAACAATATTTTGAAAAGTTACTTCTGCTAAGGTCTGTAGTAAAAAATATATGCCGTATTAAAAAATTTTGCTTAGAAAAAAGTGTCAGACAAGTGTCAGCATGAAAACTTTATTTGCGGAATTTACATACCTCAATCCAAAAAAATGACGGCCATTTCGGCACGGCGGGGCTACTCAGGACACTCCCCCAGGGCTATTCGGGACACCCCAAAAACACATTAACAGTAGAACCTCAGTTAGCAAAGGCTCCAGTTAAGAAGAAAATTGATTAAAAACAGAAAATATTGATTACATTTACCTTGCTCAGCAAAAAAAATTTCACTTATCAAAATATTAGTGCATCATCAGTCATCACAAAATTGTGCATAGAATGTCATATATAAAATTGTGCACCAGGCATCATAGAATGAAAAGTAATTGACCTAAACTATGATTTATTTCTTCAAAACATATTATGGTTGTCACTAACACATTCCTTTCTGTTTCAGGTATGTTTTTCACGGTCTTTTTTATAGTAAATTCACTTAACCCAATTAAAATGGTGTGAAATTACAAGCCGTCCTGTAAGCTTACAGATACAGAAAAAATGCTATAAGGCTGCTGATATGAAGCTTGCAGTGGACAAGATTGTTGTAAATGCTCAATGGCATGTTCTTGGATACGGTAATATTGCATCAATAATACGGTAATTAATGTATATGATGATATATCAATAAAGGAAAAACAAGTAAAAATCACAGAAAATGTCATTTATTCTACCTCTACATCATCTACAAAGAAAGAGGAGGACTTTAGAGTACTGTTAGTAATGGATGAGAGCACTCGGCATGCTTCAAATGTTTTAAAATTAAGTTTTATTCCAAGTGTCCTGAGTAGCCCCATTCGACGGGCTACTCGGGACACTCTTTTTTTGCTTCTGGCACCTTACGAATAGCATATGGAATTTTTTGGATAAACCATGTGATAGCCCTTGCAAAGAGCTTTGAAATGAGCCTAAACTAGTTTATGAAATGTTTCATGGTAAGAAGTTATGAATGAAAAACATTCGAAATTGGCCCGAGTAGCCCTGGTTGACGGTAGCGTACTAAACAGTAGAGTAGTTACTTTGCTCGCTGCTGCTGGTTCTGTCATCTGTACATGGGCCATTTTAGACCTCCTGCTTCTCTTCTTATCAAATTTTATAAAATTGTATATGTAATTATTAATTAATACTTGATATTATCGAATATCCACAAACAAAATTCATTCTATGTTACTAATATTCTACTTTTAGTAGAATGAATATTACTTTTTATATTATTTTCTTTCTCCTGGCTGTAGTTCATAGAAAACTTTTTACCAAAAATGTTGTTAAGACAGAATTGTAATGGATAATTAGTGTGATGACTTTTACATTTTACTTGAAAATTATCATTTAAAATTATTTTCATTGAAATTATTATCATTATATTATTTAATAAATTATTATCATTATAGTCAAATGGGGTAAGACAGGATCGCAGCCTTCATGGGGTAAGAAAGGACCAGCCCATATCATGCATTCTAATTGCACTGAATTTAATTTGATAAAAGAATATGTTAGAGCAATCATTGCATGTTATTTCAGTGCTTGTTTCAACCCTCTTCTGCAAATAATGAATTTCTGGCTAATTTTTAAAGAAAACTTATGTAAAGAAGGGTCACAAAATAGTTAACCCTGTTTGGGAAATAAGCTCTGTCTAATGACAAAAAATTTTTTGGCCAATTTTGTGGATGTAGGCATGTAACCTCAAGTAATAAGCAACTTTTGAGACATACTAGGCATTCCCACCTGCTACCATCACTGCCTGACATGTATTTCAAAATGAGGTAAAAAAGGACCGGACATGGGGTAAGACAGGACCACTAAATGATCCTGCTTTACCCCACAAGTGGTCCTATCTTACCCCAGAAATGGTACTATATTACCCCACAAATGGTCCTCTCTTACCCCATAGTTTATCAAAAATAGCTTTTAAATGAATATATTATGGTGCATTTGTATTGGAGTATTTTGGTCAAATGGAACATACATCTTTTGCTCAAAATAACCATTCTAACTTGTCAGCTTTTTAAGGGGAGCATCTGAGTTGTAGCTTAGAAGCCCATTGCATAACTACACCTTGTGATAGGTTTAGGGTTTTTTTATTTATTCATGGTATAGATGCTACATGCTTGTTAGTGATTTCGGTCCTGTCTTACCCCATCTGACTATATATTATTGAAAATTATCTTTGAAAAATTATTAGCCTGAACATGTACCTAACAAACAAAATTGCAATCAATTCAATAATTCAAGGTACTTTTGTACCCAATGAATACCTACTCCATCAAAACTGAGTGCCTTTGGCAAAATGAGCAGGGCAGCATTGCAGCAAGCTGTGCCAGCAGCCTTGGTTGATTTCAAAATAAAAAGCCTCAGTTTCAAGTGCTTAAGAGCCTAAATTTCAGTCTAGAAAATATTTAAAATTTATGTTTATGCAGGGATTTCAATGCTGTTAATATTGAGTAACTTCAAATTATCTCCCGTGCAAGAAGTACACACTAAATAAATTTTAATTTAGATTTGAATGTCACTTGAAAACTTAGTTATCCAAGTAATCCTACTTGGATTGCTCAGTTTTGGAGTGACATATTTCTGCAAATTAAAATTTATTTAGCAAGTATTTTTTGTATGAGAGATACTTTGAACTTTCTCAATGTACACACTTGACAGCATTTCAATCCATGCAGATACATAAATTTGGAATATTTTTTTAGGCTAAAATTTAGGCTTCTAAGGACTTGAAACCAGGGCTTTTAATTTCAAATTAAACATTCAATCTACCTAAAAAGGCTATACTGTTGCTGCTGCTGGAGCAGCTAACTGCCAACATGACTGGACCGCCTATTTTCTTCATTTAGTGTCTAACCAGCGGTTGATTGGGAAGGTGCTAGTGTGCTGTGTGGTGCAGCAGTTGGTCTGTATAGATGAATTGATTGGTTAAAAATGTCATAAAATCATGTTCTTTTATATTGCCTATAGAAATGCTCTATGCAAGAGAAAAAAATTTAAATAATTACCATATAAATATAAGTGGAATACAAACAAAAGTGAAAAAGCTATGAATTTTTTCCTTTATTGAATTACATCTCCCAAATGGAGTAACTTTTGTTACTTTTTTTGAAAAACTATCTTTTCTAGGTTTCCTATAAGCCAATTTCAAAGATTTTAGTACCATTAGAAAGCTCTTGTTGTAGGCTACTGTCGAACAGGGTAATAAGGGACGAGTGGGGTAAATTTTTATTCTATATCTTCTTGCTGGAAAGGTGGCTGACTTAAGTCCACTCTTACATGGAAACCTTGCTGTGGAAATCAAACAAGTTGAATTAATCTAAAGCTACTAATTTCTGTGGTCAAATTTAAGCATTTTATTTCAACAAGTCAGCATCTACTAAATTACTTCAGTAAATAAAGCTTATTGCACTGTTCTTGTATCATCAAATTAGTCAATGAGACCTAGTTGATCATATGTTAGACTGGGTGTTTTGTTGTAACACAATCCATTTCTTTCAACTGTGTCATCACATTCTTAAGCAACTTACATCATGTTAATTTTATTTTTGATCTTGCATCAAAGCTCAGAAAAGTTGGTCCTAGTTTCTCAAGCTTATTTCTGTGTTTCCCCTTAATTTGAATCAAGCATGCTGGACCAATTATTTTTGAGAAGTCAGAAGTCAGTGACTGTTTAACTTGTACTTGTTATTATGAAGTTTCTGCTGCCAGTTTTATTGTAGTTGTTATAGCCTATTGAGAACAATGGCAGCAATAAGACACTCGCTGCAGAAAGAAGTGTGCGACCCAGTGGAAGAACAACTCTTGGGTCTCCTGCACGTCACAAAGCCTGGCAAGAAGAAGAAGACAAGTTTCTTGTGTGCAGTCATTTCCAAAGAAAAGCCCATAAATGCTGCAGTACATCAAGTCAAGAAAACTGATAAAGATTCATTCAAGAAAAAAAATTCGTGGCATCTTAGAGAACTTCTAGTTGTCGATGGACTAAGTGAGCACATAGAGACGGCTGAGCTGGAGCTCACATTCGAGAGGGTGTACCGGTGGACAGCCAGCAGTGCTCCAGACAAGTCTTCCTTCATTCAGATACTCTGGAGACTCTGCTGCTTGTACCTTCCTAAACAGAAACCCCAGTTTGTGAACATTCCTAAGGAATTGTTAGTTCAGGAGCCCAGTCACCTCAGTCTAGACGCTTCGATAATCACAGCAGGCACTGATGGAGGGCTGAGCCCCGAAGCTCCTTCCTTAGATGGTAGTTTAAGTGGACCTTATATTTCCGTGTCGGAACGAGAGCAGCGTGACCTGCAAGAACTGATGACGCAGTGCGACTCTGCGGTGTCGAATGCTGAGGCTTTTGCTCAGCAGCTGGCCCAGGACCTCAGTGTATTGGATGGAGCCAACATACATAGCATGATGGCCAGCGAGGCACAAGTCGATGCTCTCCTCACTATGATTGATTCTGCTCTGAACGAGGCCGGTAAAATAGAAAGTCGATTGGATGCTTACGATGCCATTCTTGTACATGTGCGGGACACTATTGCGAAGATGGCTGATAAGAGTTCCAGTATGCAATTTGCCAATGAAAACAATACCAAGTTATTGGCTGAACTTCAACAACTTGTTTCTGATCTAGAGTTGTCATCCGCCCAGGAAAATTTGTTGAAATCTGCCGATCTGAATGATCGCGAAGCACTTCCTCGAATTATAGAAGCTGCATCGGCTTTGCAAGACGCGATATCAGCTCCTCTGCCTCCACATCTGCATTATATGACTGCTGTCAAGGAGCAAAAGAAAAAGATGGAAAAATTACGAACTCGCTTCTGTCAACTTGTAAACCGGCATTTGAATAATTTATTTATCCACTTGGGCAATGACCCTGGCCTTCTAGGTGGTACCTTGACTACATCGACCAACACAGGCCCGTTGGTGCTGCCTCGCCATTCCCACATACACGAAGAGCTCACGCCATACACGCCGCTCATGCACTGGGTACGTGCAATGGACGACAGGTCGTACCAACATCTCACCAGGACCTACTGCTCAGCCATCAGCAAGGTGTACGAGCGCGAGGTGCGCATGTTCTTCGAAGAGGCGCGGACGAGGGTAGTCGCTGGCAAGAAACTTCGTGGCGTGAGCGGCAACAGCAACCCTGACCTATCGCAGCCCAGTAGCGGTCAGGGTGTGGCAGGGAAACTAACTTCACAGCTAAAGCAACAGGCTGCCACGAGTCTCGGTGCCACACGCACCACCACCGCCAGTGGGGGTAGACTGCTGGGCGTAGATAAGGATCAATGGGGAGCAGAACTCGAGATGTCAGAACGTCACAAGTTTGATGATATGTTCGAGAGCATTTTGTCTGAGCTAGAGCCTGTATGTCTCTCAGAGCAAGAGTTTTGCATAGCTTTCTTCAATCTAAACGCCGGCTGTGCTTCAGTTGATAGTTCTGAGTTGAGTACGCCTGTATCAAATCCTAGTGATACCGCAAGCGTTGGGGGTGACAGCAGCAACGGCAGCGGTGGTGCAACGACGGAAGGCCAAACAGGCAAATGCGGCGCTATGAATAAGGCTGTCAGAACTATGATGGCTGGTCTCTTCCCAACGTTGGAACAACAGCTTACTTCATTCATCAACGCTTTCGACCGTGCTGACTCTTATTGTTGTCTGTACATTTACGTCCGTCTGTCTGGACACGTCCTCAGAGCCGAAGACACTGGATCTTTTCTGAGCCTCACCTTCGGATCTGCTTTGGTTCAGAGTAAACGCAATTTTGATCGTTTCATGCAGTCCCAACTCACGAGTATCGTAGAGTGTAAAGTAACGAAAAAGAAGTGCGGTATCCTCCCATTTGTCACCAATTTCGAAGAGTTTGCTCGCACATGCGAGTATGTATTCAAGCGCAGTGAACGACGGACTGATCTGGAGCGCTGGAATAACAGACTGTTATCTGCAATGCTTGACACGATACCTCGCGTGGCTCATGAGCATCCCAGAGGACCGCCTGAGGTAATAAAGATGGAGAACTATCACGTGCTGCAGCAGGTCGTTGCTCAACTGAAACTGCCCTCCACCGAACAGTTGCGTAAGGACGCCAAGATTCGATACCAAGAAGCACTCAACGCCTACGTCATCAGGTACTTCGGGCGACCGCTCGAAAAACTGAACATCTTCTTCGAAGGCGTCGCTGCGAAGGTGGCCTGCGGTGTGCGGGAGTCAGAAGTTGGCTACCAGCTGGCATTCAGTAAGCAGGAGCTGCGCAAGGTAATTAAAGACTATCCTGGTCGGGAGGTCAAGAAGGGACTGGAGCAGCTCTACAAGAAGGTGGAGAAGCACCTGTGTGAGGAGGGCAATCTGCTGCAAGTGGTGTGGCGGGCGATGCAAGAAGAGTTCATCAGGCAATACAAAGCCATCGAGGAGCTCACTCAACGATGTTATCCTGACGCCCAGATATGTTTAGACTTCACCATCAACGACATCCTTGCTTATTTCAGTGACATTGCGCAGTCGCATTAGTCACTTCATTCAACAACTAATTCTTAGGACTCAGAGCGCTTATGTATTCGATATTTACCAAAATTTTCTGATAGCGCAAAACAAACTTGAAGTTTTGCTTGCCTGTAATTCATGCACGACATTTTTTATTGTTAACAATAACGATTGGTCTTGTATATCCATAGGTCCATCGTTCCTTGCCTTACTTTTAGCTTTTTTGTCAGAGGGAATATATTTTTGTTCGCCTATTAGTGTTGAAATTATCGTCTATTTCAATTCTTCGAACCGTGTGTGTTTGTTTTGAAAGTTAGAATAACGTCTACTATTAATTTAAATATTTATTCGTTAGGAAACATTCATGCGCTCTAATTGAAACTGGCCATTGACCTCGACCCTTCATAATATCATACATCAGAAGTGCAGTGTTCGTACGGGTGTTGCCAGAATGAAGAGTGAGAAATTGTTCACATCGACCGGCGCCCATTCTTAAAACTCAGCCAGTGCTCGTGTCTCTAGGAGGCCATCGTTTCAAAGGAAAAATCATTGTGCAGCTTCAGAAACCCAGTTCAGTGCTATTTATTTGAGCTTTGCATCTTCTGTTGACGTAGAGAAACATAAACGTCCCTCATGATCTCTGTCCCGAAAAAATGACTTGCATGACAAGTGCTGCTTGAACCTGGTATCCTAACTGCGGCTCGCATGTTAGCAAGAAGTATCAAACCTTGCCCACGTCTCTCACAAGAAGGAGTAAACGTCGTTTGCCGTCACTCCCAATAAGTAGAGACTGAAAAACGTCTTTCCCAAGAAGTACGTCACTGACCTGATCCTAGCTCTCGCTGAGCTCCCCTGCCCCGTGTTGGCCCGCAGCTCGAGCACTCGCAGCGATGACTGTCGGGGGGCGCGTCGACTTCAGCTTGGTGCGAACAGCAAGCCGCGAAACGCTCTCCAAGCTGCTCGATGGCATCCCTGGCAACAAGGTCAGTTGCTGGACGCTAATCTGGATTAAAACATTAATTACTTCATTCAAGCATTAATAATTACTGCTGTAATTTATATATTAGTACTCATTCCTTCTAAATAAATGACTGCCGTGCCATAATAGTGTGTGTGTGTGTCATATCTTTCTTAGAAATTCTTAGCTTATCGGTTGTGCCTAGGTTACACGGTGGGGTCCAGTGTAATGGACCGTGTTCAGTGTGGAGGTTAGTGTCGTGATTGAGAGATCAAAATGAAACAGGTACTTAGCTTGGATTTATGCTGCACAGGCGATCGTGTGGGAGAAGGAACTGGCTGGGAGCTTCAGCCTGGTGGGGGATTTTTCGTACCTTCGCTCCCACGGCGTGACACAAATGTTCTACCTGAGTGGAGAGCACGCGAGGTCCCCGTCTGTTCCCAACATCCACATCGTGTTCATCACCAAGCCCCACACCGAGAGCATGGATGCCATCAACGTCTACCTCAGAGGGTGGGCTCTGCTTAACGACTCAACCATAAATAGATGTCACCGAAGATAATTATTACATCATTATGTATAGTATCATCATGCTGATAGATATGAAGAGCATGATCATGTCTAGCATCATTAGCTGTTACATATGCCGCGTCGCCGCAGGCTGCCTGAAGGGTCGCGTGAGCTGCACCTGTGGCTGGTGCCGCGGTCGTCGCTGCTGTGTGAGCGTCGGCTGCAGGAGCACGGCGTCTTGGGGCGCTTCACCGCCGTCACTGAGCTCCCCTTGCTCCTCTTTGTCCTGGAGTCTGACCTCGTCTCCATGGAGATGCCTGGCGCCTTCAGGGTCAGCCTTTTGTTAAAAATTAGCCAAAGTTGATAGATAGTTCGGATTGATCACTTGTTTCCGTTCAGTTGTTCAAAGCTTTCAAAATCCACGTTTTATGGTTGGATGCCTTTAGCAAATAAGATATGGGCAGTTAACTGCGTTGTGCAGGTAACGATTCATATGAAAGTGCGTTGTAAGTTACACGCTTTCACAGGAGTGGACCGTCGAAGGCGACCCGAGTGCGGTGCACGCCGCGGCCCGGGCGCTGATGCTGCTGCAGGCGGTCTATGGCCTCATCCCCAGCGTGCACGGCAAGGGCACCAACGTGGCCGCCCTCTACGACATCATGGTCGAGCTCAGGCGCGAGATGGCCAATAACGAACCACAGGTATGGTTCTTGGTAGTATGGTTCACTCTTGTTTCTATTTGTTTATCGACATATGTGGCATGTCTTCACTTAAATCTAGATGTCTAATAGAGCATGCCTCATGATCGCGATCTTAGAGCATCCTATGTGCAGCTGGTATTGTATGAACAAAATCAAGAAGCGATATATGAATAAATCAGATAACAATAAAGTTGTAATAACAAACCTGGTATCTAAGACTGAAAGAAAGAGCTTCGATGTGGTAAAAGTGGAGCTCTTTTCACAAATCTTCCCCAGTTTTCTCCTGTTAAAATTGACGCTCCACTTAAGATGACTAAGACGTTGGACGAGGAAAGATGATGTTTTTCAGTCCTGGTGGAGCTCTATATTTCCAAACATTTTCAACTTTCGTGTCACTGCTTTATTCCAACATCTCCCACTTCTTTGCCGGAAGTTATTGAAAAATTGCTCGAGTTTTGCAGAACGAATGGTAATGTTGTTGTATGAAACTATGAAACTATGTTTACACCTTTTCATGTTTGCTGTCTAGCGTGAATCATCTAATAGTCAAGTCCAGCATCTCACCCCAGTGTGCTGGAACAACGGTAATATGAATGAAGATACCCTGAATTAAAATGTGCTGAAGACTAATTTATTGTATGATTTGTTGTTTTATCCTCAGGTGCCCTCACTAATAGACCAGCTGATCATCCTTGATCGAGGAGTGGACCTCATCACGCCCCTGGCGACGCAGCTCACCTACGAAGGTCTCATCGACCTCTGCTTCGGCATCAAGAACTGTGAGATATTTGTTACCTTTCCCCCACTGTGTTTTCTGAGTGTCAAAAAATTTGAGACTTTGCTTCATTCCCCACTGAGTACTCTGATTGTCAGCTTTTGCTACTTCGTTGACGTTCATTAATTGTATTGTCTTTATCTTCGTCTTTGGAATGATGCAATATTCTTATGTTATGATGTTGTGTAGCTGGGTCTAGCCTCCTTTGTGTTACAATACAAGTTGTTTGTTGTCGATTCACTTTGTGTTGAATGTTCGTTACTAACGAGCGTCATTCGTTTGGGAAATCTGAAGAAAATTGTATTTAACGAAACATGTGATCGATACATTGTTTGCTAATGCGCTTGCTAATTGCAAGCGCGTTTTCTTCGTCATTTGCCGAAAGAATTTATTGTTTTCTTGTGTGCAGCGGTTGTAAAGCTGCCGGAGAGCAGATTGGCGGGAGGGGCTGAGAGTGAGGATGGGGTGGGCAGTCTGATGGACACCCAGGGCGCCGCCCTCAAACCCGTCTTGTTGTCGTCCAGTGATCCCCTCTACGCTGGCCTCAGAGACGCCAACTTCTCTGCCATCGGCCCCAAGCTTGCCGCCCATGCCAAGCAGGTTGCCACGTGCTCTACATTAACCTTAACAACAAATAGGACAAAACCTTATGCGCTAACTCAGTTATTCCCAATACTAGTTCACTAGTGGTGCACAAAGGCTTGCTAGGTGATACGCAGACGCTTAAGAGGTCGTGAAATATTTATAGTTAAATACTGTTTACTTTATATAAATGTTTACTGCCTGCATCAGATAGTCTAGTAACGATTAGGAACTGCTGTCACACTCCATCTTCCTGGTCTCGATTCCTTATCGTTGAACTCAAACATTACACTTATATGAATCACTAATGATTTCCTCGTTAGGTAAGATATTATGCGAATGACACCACATAGTAGGAGCTAATAGGTACCACCAAGTAGCACCTTATGGTAGGAGTAGGATGCAACCGCGCGGGATCTCAAAGTATTTCTCGATCACAAAAGGGTTTAAAAAAATTATGTTTTGATACTCTCTTGTTCTAGTGTTACTTCTTCAGTGAAATTCTTATTTAGTATTTATTTCTCTATTCATAGTCAACGGCATTGCTACCTTTAAGGCTTCTGTTCTCACAATCACGAATTATGTGGGGCGTTCAATGGCTTATTCGCTCTGCTATTCTGTAATCCATTATATGTTCGACGAATGGAACTTATAAATAGGCTTCATATAAGCATGTAAATTCAAACAGTAAATTATGATTTATTGAGTATGATTAGGGATTTATATTTCAAGACCCAAGTTCTGTATACGGTTGATGGTCTTGTGTTCAATGCACAGATTCATATAAATTTTTATGACCATTTACAATGAAAAAGCCGTGAGTCATATAGTTTTGGTGCCTCATTTGATTTCACAATTTTTGGACGTATTTATTCATGTAACAGTCAATTTAGCAATTTCTTTCTTGCTCTAACTAAGGTCGTTGTGAATGTTGCCCGCAGATCACGAAGGAGTTCGAAGAGCGGCACTTGGCCAAGACTGTGGTGGAGATGAAGCATTTTGTCCAGAAGCTTCCTCGCATCCAGGCCGCTAAACAGAGCCTTGCTTTGCGTGCGTTTATAGCTGCTATTTTGCTGGAATTCTCAATCCCTAGGCACGTCATGTGGAGAAGCTCCTAATGCTCTCGTCTTTTTTATTGTGCCTATTAATTCTTGGGTGTATAGTTGATGGACTTGGCGAAATGACCCGTGAAAGTCATTGTTGTTGAGTGGATGTGGCACTGTTGTTTGTGACTAGACTAGCCAAGTTGCACCTTCTGCTAGGAATCGTGTGACAGTATGAGTATGAACATAACATCGTGGTCAGATACATAGCCACGCTGATTTTCGGTGGATGCGCATTCGCTCCGTTATGTATGCTTCTGGAATCAAAATTAATGCCGGCTTAAGGTAAGGTGATAGCTTTATAGTATTTTTAATGCCGTGTATGTGAGCGATTGTTATATTGTTTGTATTAGTCGTGCTGTGTTTGTAAATTTGCTCCATTATGAATTCTTTTAGAATCAAAATTAAGGCCGTTTTAGCGTAAGGTGATAGGTTTGTATCATCTTTGATCCCTGTATATGAGCAATTGTTATATTTCTTAGTGTTCGTCGTGCTGTGTTTGTGAATGGAGTTTGGTTGCTCTAAAAGTAATTCGTAATCGCAGACACGAGCATAGCGGAAGCGTTGCAGGAGGAGGTGGGGACTTCATCATTCGGCGCAGCTTTGCAGCACGAGCAGCAGCTGCTCAGAGGTGGCATTGACTGCGATAAAGTTCCTCCCTTCATCGAGGAGAGCATCGGCGGAAAAGCTCCCTTGAACACAGTCAGTTCTTGTCATATGTTTTTTCTTTTATTTGACTTTTTCAGGATCTCTTAAACAGCAAAATACACGCCATATCGAAATGTTCGATATTAAAACAGTGTGTTTATCCTTGCGTGTTGTGTTGGGCTTCATTCATAGCACCAGTTTCCTAGAGCCCCTTAAACATGCTAAGCCCCTAGGCCCTATAACATGCTACCATTATGCGATGGGCAATGATAACTTTTCTGATGTTAAATCAACGTGAACACCGTGAAGATCTTGCGATTAATATGCTTACATGAACACCGTGCAGGTCTTGAGACTGATCTGCTTGCAAAGTGTGATCAACAACGGCCTGAAGCCAAAGCTGCTGGAGCACTACAAGCGCGAGCTGGTGCAGACGTACGGCTACCACGAGCTGCTCACGCTGGACAACCTCACGCGGGCGGGGCTTCTCACAGCGCAGACACAGAAGAGTAACTACGCAAGCATGCGCAAAACGCTGCGTCTCATAGTCGACGACGTCAACGAGCTAAACCCCAAAGAAATTTCCTACGTCCATTCCGGGTTTGTGCTAATTCATTGTAACCATTAATCGTGTAGGTGATCGTATTCAATTCGTTTCTTTGTAACAGGTAGAGTATGGTCCATACAGATTCACAATAAATGCGGCAGCAATAGAATTGCATGAACAAATGAGGTAGCAATCGCGTTAATTCTAAGCCATATGGAATTAATAGTGAAAGCATCATATAAGTATGACGTCAACATTACGTTGGTTCTCATTAATAATTCTTTATATGTTGGGATCCGTCATGTTCATGGCGTTGCTTGTGCCCAGGTACGCGCCGCTGAGCGTCTCGCTGGCGCGCGCCGTACACAGCCACGGGTGGCGCTCCATCACCGAGCTGCTCACGGTGCTGCCTGGCCCCACCCTCGCCGAGGCCCAACACGTCCCGCGACACAGACGTCAGTCACTGCCGCCTGCCTCACTCTCTCACGCTGTGTTATCGCCGCCCTGCTTCATTATCAAATTCCTGCTTCGTTGTCAGATTCCTGCTTCGTTGTCAGATTCCTGCTTCGTTGTCAGATTCCAGCTTTATTATCAGATTCCTGCTTCGTTATCAGATTCCTACTTCGTTGTCAGATTCCTGCTTTGTAGTCAGATTCCTGCTTCGTTGTCAGATTCCTGCTTCGTAGTCAGATTCCTGCTTTGTTATCAGATTCCTGCTTCGTTGTCAGATTCCTGCTTCGTTGTCAGATTCCTGCTTCGTTGTCAGATTCCTGCTTCGTAGTCAGATTCCTGCTTCGTTGTCAGATTCCTGCTTCATTATCAGATTCCAGCTTCGTTATCAGATTCCGGCTTCATTATCAGATTTCGGCTTCATTATCAGATTCCAGCTTCGTTATCAGATTCCAGCTTCGTTATCAGATTCCAGCTTTGTTATCAGATTCCGGCTTCATTATCAGATTCCTGCTTCATTATCAGATTCCAGCTTCGTCATCAGATTCCAGCTTCGTTATCAGATTCCGGCTTCATTATCAGATTCCAGCTTCGTCATCAGATTCCAGCTTCGTTATCAGATTCCGGCTTCATTATCAGATTTCGGCTTCGTTATCAGATTCCAGCTTCGTTATCAGATTTCGGCTTCGTCATCAGATTTGTGATTCAATATATTGCCCAAGCTTCCGTAATCTGAGTCGTGCATTGTCTTTAGTTTCCCACGTTTTAATCAGCTTCCTGCTAGCTATAACATTAGTGGGCTTTAACTGAAGAATGAATTATGCCATATTTTTTATTTATTGCGCATCGATCTATGATTTATTTCTTTCATTAATTGTTGACTTTTATTAAACTAATTGTTTCTCAGTTGAATTGGTTCTAGTACAACTTTAATTTTTGCTTCTATTCCATTAAGTACAATGAAATAATTTGTTCTTGGCAGGATCAGAGAGCGTGTCGAGTGATCGAGCATCGAGCCCCGTGGTGCTGATATTCTTCTTGGGAGGCTGCACCTACAGTGAAGTCGCCGCCCTCAGGTTCCTCACCAGCAAGCTGCACGAGAACGGTCAGCATGCGCCCTGATTCTTATTTACCTAATTCTATGCATTGTGTGCACTACGATATCTGTAATTTACCTACTGATATTGTATCTTCTACTGCCATAAAGATGGGTGTGGTATTTTTCTGTGTGAATAGTAAATCATAGTTCAAATTAAAATAGTAATGTTTGCATCAAAACAATTATGAGCTTTTTAGTTGAACGATTATTGTATTCTTGTCATCATTGTGTTCTCTATTGCCGTAATGAAGGTTGTACAAGTTGTGTTAAAGTGTTGAATTAAAATCACATATCATAATCCACGTGTCGAAGTAAAACGGATTCATGTGCTAAATAAATCTTATCTAATCAAAATCTTACCCCAATGTCCGGTGAATACAGAGCAACTACGTAATGAAATACTAGTCTTGTAATTATCCTCATTTCCCTACTCACTGTTGCAGACCGATTATGTGCCTCATCGTTATCATGTTGATGTCCGTTGGATGTAATTTCTTTCTACCTCCATAATTTTGATGTCTTGCAGGCGACCCTGAGTACGTGATCGCCACAACAAGCCTCATCAACAGCAACAGCTTCCTGCAGAATCTCAGCGCTCCACTGCAGCCATAGTGCCGCCTCCTTCAGCGCTGCTAGTTTCTGCCATGCCTCAGGCACGTCGCGGCCACATTCATCTCCGTTACATTTGTGCAGTGAAAATTTCTTTACTCTGTGCATTCATTTACACTTTGAATGAATGGTCGAATCAAGCCACCCAGGTGTGACAGGACGCTACGCGATTCTCTCGGCTAGTCCCGCTATTGAAATATGCCAGTTGGGAAGTTTATGCGGTGTCGATAGCTTCCTCGTTTTTGTTGCCTACAGACACTGAACATATCTGTACACATATATATTTTATACTTATAATGTACAGATTTTTCGAGTTGGCGCAGCTTGTCTAATAAAAGTTGGGGCATTTGGTGTTCATAGCCGTTCTGCAAAGTGAACTTCAGAAAATAGAAATAATTTAGTTTTGTGGTTCATGGTTTGTGAGACTAGGCTCATTATCTCTCAGAATCCTACTCGGTCGAGTTTAATCGTCAACCTGTGATTAGAAATACAGCATCAAAACGACGTTGAGAAATCACCTGTACATTTGTTTTGATGCCGAAAACGCTCGCAGTGCATATAATCAAGTTTATGCGTTTTGGTAATCTGCGTGACCGTAGCTGTTGTGGGGTCGATGTCCCGCTGGTGATAACTTCCCATTTAAAATCTTTCCGTTTGCCGTATCTACATTAACATAACGGCAAATACTATAAAAGATGATGGGAACTCAATTTAGGTTCAACGTCTGTTCATCGAAACCAACAAAACAAGTGACAGAGGCGTTCTTTATGTTGGTATCGAAAGCATTCCAATCTTACTCGCAAGAAACACGGTGATATTGCTGCTGGGAGATTTTGCTAATCAGCTACACGTGGAGTCCGTGGAGCAAGGTTGCGCTGGTGGCATGCAGCGCCTACTGCATCGTTCTTAATTCAGCTCTTACTATGGCAACACCGTCATGATCACTTGATGTCTGCACATTGAGGCCTGTCACAATCGACCATATATATATATATTCCATTGATTTTTTCTCTTATTTTGCCGTGCATTTGTGTTATGTTAAGGCAAAGCTATTGTAATATGCACGTGAATATATACAGTTGTATCTATCTAGGGAATATTGCGATTACAATAAGTAATGTGCGTTGATCTGGATCATGAAAAGAGTTTTTGTACGTAATATTTATAATACATCCTAAATAAAAAATTCCATATACAGGTTTGGCTCGACATTATTCCCTGCTGCATAAAACTAACAAGATAAACAGATTCATTGTGATACCTCTGAAAAATTTATTCAAGAAGTGTTCAATAGAATGATTTGAACAGTAGAAATACTCTAGTTTCACTCTATTACGTGATGACATCTTTTAAACGTGACTAAATACTATGCGAAGCATCGAAATATAGAAGAGATTCTTCATACTATTCACTAATGAGACGTTCGAAAACAAGCCGCTGACATTGATAAGCTTTATAGAGTTGGAAACCTCTTCAAATTCAATTCCACCCGACGCCTCGAGAATAGCCAACATCGGTAATCTTGAGAAAACCTGGTTATTCAATTCTTATGTTCGTCAAGGTCACTCTCTCAGCGAGTCAAACATTTTTCCCGAGTATCAAACGCTCCGACCTTAAATAGCTTTGAGAGCGTCGTATCTCTTAATGATATTATGGAGGCTTGTGACGAGATACCGAATGAAAGCTAAGCTCATCGTGATATGGCAGAGTGATATGATATCACGATATGATATCTTCTAGGCAGAGTGATATGATAAGCAGTACTCGATTGCTAATATTATTTCCATAGTACAGAACCCTGTTTAGTGTACAGTAACTCCTGACAACATCCAAGTATTAGCAAATAAGGCCGGATTTACACCATATTGCCGGGCACGTGGCAGTCACAGCCCAGTTCAATATTCTTCGATGTATTTCCATACAAGCATCCACACCATGGGCATGGCAGGTGCCATGCACGGCAGTTGTGAATGCTAACAAAGAAATGCAGCAAAGAATATTGGACGGGACCGTACCTGGCATGAGCCCGGCAGTATGGCGTGAACCCGGCCTCATAGCTCAACAGCAACAGATGGCAGTTCTTGCAGAAAAATTTCATCTAGGAGCGTTCTCGGCTTCAATTAGGAAGGACATCAGGACTCAAGCTACCGCAGCTTCTAGTAAAATGCAAATGTCACCTAGTGAAAAATCTCATTAAAAGTTTTACAGCCAAAATACTCGTAAAATCTTCTTCAAATCATGACATTTGCTATAGTTTGAATCATTCGTGCATTTCAAATAATCATCGGACCAAGTTTGAATGAAAATGTGAACCATATTCCTGTAATACAACGCAGAGGAAACTTCTTTCTGACTCGAGGCCAGGAAAACGCCAGCTAATATCAGATCACGAGATGAAGAACGTGATATGAAGGAAAAGACCAGGTAGTTAACTGACTATTTATACTAGGAGTTAAAGAAAAATTTATATGCACCATTCTGAGAGGAAAGGAAAGGTGCTCAAATGATAGCTTAGCCAAGAAACAGATCAATAAATTATCGAACAGAACAGAACAAACATCTTCGAATTCGAGTTCTTAACTAACGAGAAAAATCTTAAAGTTAACAAGTTACGCGAGTTCCATGCTGAGTCACACACTAATTTAGGTGAAATGTACAACTAAACTCTCTAATACTGGGCTAGTGAAACGAGTCTTTTACATTTATAGCGGCAATACTAGATAGCTTAGCTATCTCATCTAAGTTCAGCCAGATACTCTTAAGTTATTTGATTCACAAATCCATTTCATCGTCATCAACAAGCGCTGTGGCGGCAGGGACAGAGGAAGCATCCACCACGTTGTTGTTCTGCTCCAGCCAGGCACGAGTGTATGCGGCGGAGGCGCTGCTGGCGTAGTTCTTAGGCATGACGCTCGCAGGTTCTTGTATAAAGTCGCTGCTAATTTGGGCAATAGTGCTGCAGCTAGCCTCGGCGGTAGGAAGGTTCGAGGGGTAGAACAGAGAGAAAGGATTGTTAGAAAATGTTCCTTGAGGATGGATTTGAAACACACTGGAATTTGGAGCAGAATTAGACGATACACCAGCGGCAGAATTTTCCTCATCCATGTCACAAGGAAGGTCCAAGGAGACAGAATTGGATGGAGGTGAGATCGACACGCCAGAGTCGGGGGAGCTTATTATGTTTTCTGAATTGGAGACGTTGCCGTAGACATTGCAACCGTGGGCTCGGGCGACATCTGCCACTTCAGAATTTTCGTCGCGGTCGTTAGAAGCACCAGTGAGGGGGGCGGCTGACAGCGGTGGCGCCGGCGGACGCCACAGAACCACGTCCATGCACGGACCGCTCCGTCTGCAGCAGGTAGCAACGCTTGTTTTAGCCAATAATTTGCATTCCTTAGTTGATAATTATGCGATGATTGTGTCTAGCTTGTAAAAGTTAACTTGCTATAAAGCTCAAGTTATCTAGAGTAATCAATCTAAAATATCTATTAAACACCGAGAGGAACGATCGAGCAGTAAAGGAAGAAATAACCCTTACTAATGAAATACAACTAGTGCCTGAAAATATTCTGTGTCGAGACCTCTTGTAGCTTATAAATGGCAGTCACCAAATCCCATGTCTCTGCGTAAAAAAGTTCCCATACAATTATTACGAGTATGTTTACTGGAATAAATTAACTAAAAATCATCAGGAAACTGCCTTCGATATTTTATTAAACCAAAAATTCTCACTTCAGATTTTTGAGAAGGGCATCAGGGAGAAGGTTTCTGTCATCGAGAGGAATTTTATTGATGTCGGTAGAGACATAAAGGCGAGGAAGCTGGCTGCCGTCACTGTCGTCGTCACTGCCATCCTTCAGGAGATTCTCCGGCACCTGATCACAACATACAACTTGAATGTACAGGAAACTAAAAGGAATCATTGTAAAGAAATGTGTTTGCATCGTTCAGAATCGACACCTTAAGTGAAGGATAGGATTTGTGAATGGTAGGAGTTTATAAGAAAGAGCTTTGAAAACAGTTTTGTTACAAGGAACTGACTGGTACGGTCAAGTCCAAATCAGTTGTGTTCAACTATGGTTTGCCAGCACCAGTGGTGCATGGAAACCTTCCAGGTGTTATGCTAATTTTTCGAGGTCAAAAACTAATTTGCTTTGTTATATTAAACTTCACAACATTTTTCATAACTAACATAAGATAATGTACAACAATTTACATAACTGCCACACGTCACCAGCTTGTTACAAGTGTACCAGGATGGTGCTAAAACCCACATGCTAAAACTTGGTGCATTTAGAAGAAAAAAATACGCTGCTCAGGTGCATATCGGTAGCTGATATGTAATATTCAAGGTATGTAGTGAATACCTGGTGTTGAACAGTGCCTTTGCGGAATCTCCAAAAAGAACAAAACTACAGAAGTTAGGGAAACCTGGTGTGGATGTTAGTTGCTTCTCGAGACAATTGAAATAAAAGCTAACTCCCTAATCTGAAAACATAACATACAACTGCAGAATACGCAAGTTAAAAAAATCTAAAGCAATCAATACTATAGCAGCAGAGTTTTATTTTTATAGACACTGAAGCTCAGTTACCTTGCCAGCATCTGTTCCCAGCTGATGACTGGTGTATTGGTTGGACAAGTGCAGGGAGCTCAGGCTTGCTGACACTTTGTCCTCTGTTATGTGCTGCTTGGCCGCCGGCAGCCTTTATACGATAATAATGCACAATATCAGAAGTCAAATTTTACAAAATTACAAATATTGCTGAATGCACATAAGACATTTGTTTTTCAACAAAATGTATCAGCTTTGTTGAATTGAAAGTATCAAAAATACAATTGATTGAAATGAATGTTTTGATAACACAGAGTTATTTGAAACACATAATATATTTGCATCAGCCTGCATTTTCCTTCCTATTTTCAAGTTTCAACTAAAATAAAATTCAACTGAGGACCAAGAGGCTTTTACAATAACATTAAAAGCAGGTCAATGAAACAGAAGAACTTAATCCAACAACTAACCTGATTTCCATATCTTCATCACGGGATTTTCTTTTGGTAGCTGGGGCCATGTGTATGCTTGATAATCTGAAGAGAAAAAAATTTATAAAACATCAATATTTTTGATAAATTCACAACTTTAGCAATGTGGTGCACATGAAATAACCATATTTCATATTAGTTCTTTTATAGAAAAAAATTAGCAAATGACTGAAAAAGAAAAAGCATAACAATTTTAAGCTTTCCACAGCAGTGCAATAGAACAAATTTAAGTTTAATATAAAAACTAAGATGAGGTTCAACAAGGACTTGGCAAATAAGGCATTACAATATTAATGTGTCAGATATTGACATGAAATGAACTGATATCAATTAATATGTGACAAAATAGCAGAAAAATACACAAAGACTTTACCTGAAGTTGTAATCCATTGAAGAATTGGTGTTGTATGTTGAACTGGCAGGCATCTGAGGATTACCCAATGTTGAGGCAATGGTATGGGGAGGTGCACAGAGAGGGGGAGTTGGCTGAGTGGGGGAGGCAAAGCCCCCTACTCCTCCCCAGCCACGATGCATTGGAAATGGATTCAATGAAGGCTGATGTAACATGGACATTGGCTTGAAAACTGGACTTGCATCAGATAAATCAATTGGGAACTTAACGACTTGGCCCTCTGCTGAATTCAAACCAGGCTCACTCTGCATACTACTTTTAAAGAAACCTGACAGATTTCCTGTGGCTTATGCAACCTGCACTATCAGATTTGAAGACATTCTTCATGAATTTCACTGAAAATTTGTTAAATGTCATTGGAAGAAATTGATGCATTCTAAAATTACATGTCACTATCAATTAGAGATATTAAGAATATCAATATATGCATGCCTATCAATCTTTCTCAGATCTGAGAGCTCACGGTGTTCAAATTCCGAATCCCATTTCAACCTTAAATCAAGTAATCAATACAATCAATAGCCATGGGGTTGTCAAAAGCAGCAATCAGACTACTTTGTTCAAGTGCCTTCAAAATACTGAGCACTTGTAAAGTCTTCAAACCAATATACTTCCTGCACATCAACACAAACCACACCCAGCCAAGAGCTCTTACAAGCTGATGTCTGTGATGTGGTACACTCCCAGACAAGCTTCACTGCATCTTGATCCATCCAACATACCAGAAACCTTACTGTGTGAGCGTGTGGTCTTTCAGATTTTCAGCTATTTTTGTAAATAGTTGGCCAAAGCTGTGTCTAATTCTGGATAGGTAATATATTACTATGTTGACAATAAAATGGACTGAAAACCTACCACATAACTTCCACCGCAGTGACAATTAATACACTGAGCTTGTCAGAAACTGTGGTCTGCCACGCTTCCTATATCTTGCGTGCACGTGGTTAGTCATGCGACATGTGGTGCATTAAAATTCAATAGCGGTGATGCCCGCAGAATTTCCAACCCAAAAATTTGTGTAAGAGCATTCAAATTTCATAACTTGATACATGAACAAAATAGATAATTAATTTTATATATACTATATATATATATATATTTAATACTATTGTATGAAACAATTATGGGCATATCATTTGTTGATGCCACTAAAACAACAGCATTTTCATAGTGTAGGCGATCGCCTCTGCTAGCACAGGCTGGACATAGGCTATGCATGTCCTGTGTGTAGTAGTCCTTGATCACTACGTATTTTAAATTTAATGATTTTGGCATTTCAAAGACTCCATTGATTACAGAACTTTAGTTTTCACAAGTGTATTCAAGAAATAGTTTTGCAAATAGTAGGGACATTTCCATTACCATAAGTAAATGAGGTTCATAAAATACCTACCTACCAAATCCAATCATGGTCATTTAATTTAGGATGGATGGATTAAAATTTTACCTTTGTTCACTCAATGCATATTTCTATCCACAGCAGATGTAGAAATATGTGCCAAGGCCAGTCAATCCAACCTAAGCGTTGGGACCCAATGGTTGGGTTGCCAAAATGTCACATTGTTCTGCTACTGACGGGACAATATAACCTCAGCAAACGTTGAGCATTAAAATCACAAATACCTCTTGCTTACTCGTTTAGGGGCTGGTCCTTTAAGTTGTGAAACCGTTTTAAATCATTTCTCTTGTATTCATCATTAACTTAAGCATCGTATATATATATATATATATATAGTATATATAAAATTAATTATCTATTTTGTTCATGTATCAAGTTATGAAATTTGAATGCTCTTACACAAATTTTTGGGTTGGAAATTCTGCGGGCATCACCGCTATTGAATTTTAATGCACCACATGTCGCATGACTAACCACGTGCACGCAAGATATAGGAAGCGTGGCAGACCACAGTTTCTGACAAGCTCAGTGTATTAATTGTCACTGCGGTGGAAGTTATGTGGTAGGTTTTCAGTCCATTTTATTGTCAACATAGTAATATATTACCTATCCAGTAGTCCTTGGTAGTGATATAAGAGATCATCAATCACCATAGGAGCTGTAAGAAAAAAATTCAATGTTTGATGTAAAAGAATGTTTTTAATTTAAAAGATATGCAATACTCAATTTTCAGAAATACAATGCAAAAATTAATAATCTATTAGAATTTAATAGATGTGATGCTTTCAGAATTAAATTGAAAAAGTTGGTACCTATTTAGAATTTAGAATTTTACAAATTGCACAACGCGTTCACAAATTCAAGATCACCTGTGCGTATGAATTCAAGTCTCATGACTGGAGAAGATTTCAAAATTTATTGCACTAGAGCCTAGAGGATGCATACCAATATTGAGAAAAAATTCCATGACTTTTCCAGGACTCTCCATGACCATCAATATAATTTTCCAAAACATGACTTTAGATTTACTGTTTAGCATGACTGAAAGAGTAACCGTTCATATTCTATCATCTCCTAAACTTTGAAGACTGCATTTGATAGGAAACCATCTATATTAATGCCTGCCTGCCTGGTAAAATATTTGCAGCGTATGTAAAATAGAAGACACCTAAAAAATACTTAACAAAATTAAGGGCAGATATCATTTTCATTTACCCCCAAGGTTGTAGGCTAGTGTAACACAAGTTACACGACAACCCGTAGCAATTACTCTCCGTTCCCAATTAGGGTTAACACACAAAAATTGAAATGCGTGGTCACCGTGTGACCGTGGTGCATAGTGGCAAAGCAGAGAGTTTTTTAGACTCTCCTTCAATGTCAAGCCCTATAAGACTAAGTAGACCAGAAATGTATTATGGATACCTGACCAGCATCATCATACATAAGATATTGGCTTAAACCTTGGCCCTTGGGTATATGAGAAAATTAAAAATGAACCGATTCTAAAAAATCACTGGTTTGCCACCATGCCGTGGTGACTGGTGACCTCCGGTCATGACCTTTATATCAGTCACACACGGCACACGCAGCCTAAAAACTTTTAATAGCGTCAAATAATTAAAAGTTCCCGCTCGTATCATAAAAAAGTTCAATTAAACCTTATTTACAGCAGTCCTAAGAAAATAAAGCATAACAATTTAGTTTTGTTTTGCAACAACCTAAAAAAATAAAACAACGTAGGCCTACTAAAACAAATCGGCAGATGGCAGTCACATGTCTTCCCAGTTCCCACCCTCCCCTCTCTCAAGTCTCAACCCTCCATTCATCAAGACCCCACTCTTATCATAACACGCAGCAGTGGGCGGCAGCACAGAAATATACTTCCTTTTTTATTTATTTGCAAATTCCAGGGTTTTCCAGGTATTATTGCAGATTAACTACATCCAAAAAAAAGGGTGTTTTTTTTTTTAATTATATGTTTTTTGGGGTGTAGATTACGAATCTGAAATCCATTNAATCTTAGAATCCATATTTGACACAATTTGACCTGTCCATTTGATACAAAATTATATTAAAAAGTTGTCATGTAAGGTTATGAGATTTCAGAAACAAGTGGGAAAATTCCAGTCCAGATTGATATAAAAGCTGTGACACCAATTTGGACTATTGGGCAGATGTTTTTAAAGATTTTAGGTAAAAAGTATTATTTTATGAGTGACTCTTGAACATTGTGTTTTTTTTTTTTCACTGCAGAAACTGTCTCTTATACACATCTTAATTTTTTAACCTATTAGATATGCAAACTTTTTAAATCTTTCTATTGTGTTACGTAGCCTCAGTATTAGGCCTTTGATGGCCATTGACAAAATTTTTCCATGTCAAATCGTTTTTGAGTTTTGGAGGTTTTTGTTAAAAAAACAAAAAGTGGTCAAAGTTACCCCGCCGGTCAAAGTAACCCCAGTTTACGGTATACAATTGAAACAGTTTGTCCACTTTTGATCATCCTTTTCATTTATAGTCACTCACCTGGCAGACAGGCAGAGCACTGTATCTAGGATCTAGGGAAAGCATTCCACCTTGAGTGGAAAGCTTTTTTATATGTGAACCTCCATTTCTAGAATTCCACCCTGACATCGAGAGATCACAACCTAACGCCAACTCGCAGGTTGGGTTGGTTCGCCCAGGTTCCTTTTAGATCAAAATGCTATCTAAAAAAAGGAACTTTAAAGCACGTGTGTTTGTGACGATCGCCAGGCATCAATCGTAAAGTACATGTGCCTGTGTCGATCATGCAGCATTGGTGAGGGTTACACTTCCGTTTTTAGCAAGCATATTGGCAACTTTCTTTCCTGGCGTACTGGCGTACATCCGAAAACGAACCTCCGGCGTACACGCTGCACCTTCCTGACCATGGATGACTGGTAGCGCTGCGCCGCTGCCTGGTACCTAGGTACGCTGCCGTACGCACCCTGGTACTAGGCTACTAGCCTATCACGTAAGCTGGGCTGGGACAGCTGCTGGCCAGTGGCCGCTGGGTAGCTAAGCTGTAACTGTAAGCAGCTAAGCACTGCAGTGACTGCAGTATCTGCACTAAGCATGATAGGCCTATAAGCTTTTCATCCTTTTGATGAAGATTATGAAACTCTGTCACAGTGTCATTTCCGTTGACTGTGTAGTGTGTGGCTGTGTGCTATAGTTAGATTTTTGAACAAAACATACAAAAGTTTAGTAGGCTAATAAGCAATAGCCGCTAGCTAACGCCTAACATTTAACAATATGGGTAGCTAAGCACGTTAATACCAATACGAGTAGGATAGAAGTTTCTACAAAATATCATTGCAGTAGCAAAAAATTTTATAGAATTTTGCCCGGCCAGTGCGACCACTGGCGGCCAGAGCCGAGCTTTTTACCCTCGACCCAAAACCGTGGCAAAACGGCACCCAAAAATTTTCGAGTCTCGAATGATCGAATCGGAGCGTGAGCTAGGTAGCTATACTGCTATAGAAGCAGCCTTAAGCCAGCAAATCCGATCAATCCAAAAAGTCTATTGCGTTCCGTGCAGATGAAAATGCAGCCACTGTCGAAGTAAAACAACGGTTAGCAATTCGGAATTTTGGTTTAGCATCACAAATTCACAAGTTTTCAACTCTAGCCACAATGTACGCTCGCGACAGCCATCAGCCGCAGACTCCTTGGACGTGAAACGGTGAAATCAGTAGTTGAATTAACAATGCAATTGCTGAGCGCACCCAGTAGATCTGGAAATTTCTCGAGAATTTGTCTGAGTACATGCTCAAAGTATACAAATTAAAATACTTTACGTGAGGAATAGCATTTTGAAAGTGGAACGTGGTTTCTTTACGTCTAAAGGCAAACAGCATGTGAATACGATGTTTTTTTGTCAAAAACCTTTAGATGCATGTATATGTTTATCAACAAATTCACAAATACAGTCGATCAATAATTTTGATCTTGCACAGTCAATTACGCATGAGATTCGTAAGTAAAAATTTTATTCCTTACTATTGATAGGTCAGCAATATTTAAATTCTAAATCGCAGTTAATTAATAATATTAATATTCTCCGTCCAGAGAGGGTTGTGGGCCTGAAATTTCATCTTTACGGAAAGTGTCAATAAATGCATGATAATCGTTCGTTTGATTAATAAACTGAAAGCGATACAAAAAATGCTTGCGCAGAAGGTCGCCAACGTAAAACGTTGATAACTAATAGGAAATAAATACAACAAAAGGGTTCCCTATACCGCCTTCATTA